CTTTCTCGTTCACATACGTAATCTCATCAGTGGACGTTCTCCCAATGGCAGATATGATGTGATGAGAATCGTATCCCTTCAAGTTATGAAAGATCACAGGAATCTTGATCTTGAACGGCTCAATCCGCATGTTCAGGTTACAATGGTTGTGTGCTGCACCACGGTAAGCACCGGTGATGTGACAGTGGTCACGTACACGATCGCTACCCAACGCTTCACCACAGATCCAACAGGAGACTACCGTTTCAAATTCACGTTGCTGACTTTCTGAAATGATCATTTGACCAGCATTACATGCTAGAAGCTCATCACGGATAGTCTCCTCCTCTTGCTCAAGTGACAGCAGAAAACAGAACATAGAATCTTCTCCACGGTAGAAGAAACGGTTCGTGACGACGCCATCAGATCGTACTACAATGTACGAACAGGAACAGGCTACATGCTTGTTCTTTTGGAATGTCGAATGACCGATTTTCTTGTCAGCGGACAGAGGTTCTATGAAGGCCTCACAATCGGCATAGATCACCTGCATTTGAGAGAGAGAGAGAGAGAGAGAGCGAGAGAGAGAAGTAGGAATAGCAGCAGGGACAACACCGAGTAAAACAGCGGAAAAGACAGATAGAGAATTAGGAATAGCTGCAGAGACAACACCGAGTAAAACAGCAGAAAGGTGAACACTCAGAGTCAAGAAACATGTGCAGTAAAGAAAGAAAAAAAAAAAACAGACCACAGTGTGTTCACCTTGATTAAGTGTTCTACTTACAAATGGGGCTTGAAGCTGCTTGTTCACATTCCTGAACATCACTCTATCACCAGCCTTTGGCATCTCCACCGTAGCTTCAGGATGTTCACTGCAGTACATCATATGATTATTCAATGCCTTCTCCGTGACGTGTGTTGAGAGTCCGGAAAATGATCCGAAAAATTGAAATTACAAGTCAAAATACTGCAAAACTATGAGTTCTGATTAATATAAAATTGGAAAAAGTGAGATAACATTGACATTTGAAATAGTAATATTTTAGACATCGGAATGCAATATTATGATGTAGGGCAGGACATATTACCCACCCCTAAAAATCAAAATTAATGATACATGCAGAATTCCAAATCATGACACCATATTACCTTATTGTTTAGGGTAGAGCATAACACCCCAATACATATTTTCAATAATACCCCCTTTTTTTTGAGGTAGGGGCACCCCCTGGCACATATTTTATCCGCAAAAAAACCGGGCCAAAAATAATTTTCACCGCAAAAATGGGGTACTATTAGTACCCCATTTTTCAATAATACCCCATTTTTTGGGACCCGGGCGCCCCCTGGCCCAGAACCCGCTCGTCCCTTCCTACTAATGATGTCAGCACTACATCATTCTGTTGCTGTGCCATCTCTCCATTTTACAACAAACACTTAGACCATGAAAGAACTGTAAACATCTTGGCTGTGGATATTCCCTCTACTTAGCAGTTTTAAAAACAGACTACGTTTAGTCATTCATTCAATTATGGAATGGTGAAGACTCTGTTATATCTGTTCAATGAAATTCCATGGTGAAATTGGTCAAAAGGCATTGATAACACTGGTTAGAATGACGTTAACATTGGAATGGTTACAGGTATACAACTGTGAAGTGCTGGGTGAAAGCGGGACTAGTGGATAAGCTACAAAGCAAGGGCTGTTCCTTCGTGAAGAAGTGAAAAAGCTATTGCATTTTTTTGACAGTGGCTGCCATTAGCTGCAGAAACATACTGCGTTCCTCGCGGTCCTGTTCTGCCTTTTGCTTGCGATCTTGACGGTCATCTTCTGCTTTCTTGCTCTCTTCTTGTTCCTTTTTCTTTTTTGAAGCAAGCTCGTCCCGTTGAGCCTCTTCCTTCAGGGCCATCTCCCTCTCCTGGGTAACATGAACAGAATCACCAACAGAAATCAGAAAATTCAATAAACAAAAAAACAATTGAACACATGAACAATTTGAAGCATTTTCTCTTGAAATTTATTCTATACAGCATGAAAGTAAAAATGGGTCATACCTGCAGCGCGAGTCTTCGCTCCTCCAGTGCGACTGCATTTGCACCATGAGAAGCAGCAAACTTCTCCTCCTCCAAATACACTTTTCTCTCCTCAATCTTGAGAAGAGCATCATTTTTCTTCTCGAGGTACGTAATAATAGGATCCGCTTGATCGTACGTGCTGCTCCGCTTGGTTTTCTGGGGCCGGTCTTCCGCTGAAGATTTCTCCGAAAGGGTCCTACAAGCATCGGCTCGCATCTGCTCGGCCACAGCCTTTTCCGCATGCTTGGCTGTCACCACTGCCACTGCGGCTTGCTCCTTCTCGGCCTTCAGCTCCTGTAGCTCGGTTAGAAGCACGTCTGCTTCGGAGAAGTCCTCTACAATACCATAGGCCGATTTGCTTTTGCTATCTTTGGATTTCTGCTTCGACATCAGCAGGTGCAGCCTATCTGAAGCGCCTTTCTTTTTTAAATTGCCGAATCGCCGGTCTTGTGAGGATAGTTCATCCACGACATCATCCATTACCGACGAACCACGGACAAAAGGATTTCCTGATCCACGAATCTGTCTGAGCAGGACCAAGTCCATGCCTGAGTCCCAAACTATCCGTTGCCTATCCGGTGTAATAGGTGTCGGAGGAACAGGTGCAGGTAAATTTGAAGCCATAGTACACTGACACGTTTACGGTTAGGGATAAGAGAAAGAGTAGAGGGAAAAGTCTGAAAAATCTGAAACAAATCCCGCCAAACAAGAACGAAAGCAATATTCGTTGAAAGTGGCTTTTTCCGTCCAGATCAGACGAACTTCCGTAAGATCTTCGTAACCTCGTTCCCGCACTACGAAAATGGTGTACGAAAATCGTTAGCGAAAGGTCTCTAATACCACTAAAATGTATAGAATGTGTACTCGGGATCAAATGTGGACTTCCGGAGAAAACTGCATGGAAGAAGATCTACATGACATTGTAGTCTCAGCTATGGAGAAGGAACCATGATACAGCAATAGGCACTGCAACATCAATACAAGCATAATTAGGTACAGAAATAATAGAATAGAATAGAATGCAGGGTCACTGCAGTGACTTATGCATGACACTGCAGTGACTTATGCATGACACTGCATTGACAACATGACTTCAGGTATGCATTTGGGCACTAACAAACAACGAACTCTGGACGGTGAACTTTTGACCTTTGACGGCCTAAACATTACTTATCTGTTACATAATCATTTTCAGTCACTGAGTGTAGATCAGGCCCTTTCACGGAGCCGTGCCAGATATATACCGTGGTATGGTACGACTCCCTCCCTGCCGAGTCCCGGGTACCCGGGTGTAGATCTTTGGGGCTGTTAAGTTAGTGATGACGTCACAGTTCCTTCGATACGCATAGCAACGATCCCACTGGGGACAAACAAAAGTAACGTCGTCTCCACCGAACCAGTTGTCAGTGGCAACAGATAGGAATCCTGTACTT